CGGAACAACTTGATAAATTGGCCAGCCGGAATGTGGAGCCAATTGACCAGGGCTTCCCCTGATGGGTCTTAGCAAAAGCTGCAGGAATCCGGGGGTGGCCCTTTTCTGTTGGGCCGGGGCCCTTCGAATTTTGATGACCTTTGGACCCACCGGTGGCGTGGGAGCGAAGTCGAGTCGAAGGCCGGCCTTCTGAGCGTAGAGCCAGGGGAAGCCGTTGCCAGTCAGCGTGGCCTCGCCCAGTTTCGCGAGCTCGAGTCGAACGTCCAGCCCTGGTTTGACAGTTCGACGGAATCACTCAGAACCCCAAAACGAGTCGGCCAAAGATTGGTGCCCTTTCAAAGAAGGGCCGGAGAAAAGAAAAAACAAACGGCCCTGCCAGATTAGGTGATGCCCGATGTGCAAGATCTTTTCTATTTACTATCCTGAAACTCAGGGGGGGATCTTCTTTTGTGGGACCTTTTGTTCGGGGGAACCCCTTTCTTGGGGTGGCCTTTTTGCGGGCAGGCCTTGACCGTCTTTTGCAAAGGGGAACCTTTTCTGGGGACCTTTTTGTTGAGCTCATGTCAATAGGGGGAGTATCTTCAGAGGTAGAAGGGTGCCTTTCAAAATGCTTCAGTTTCAGGCGGTCAAGACAAATGCAAGGTCCGTCCAGTCAAAAAGATACCTGGCCTTTCAGTTTCCTCGCACCATCCAGAACCTCTCTTCCCAATTTTGGGAACTCGCCATCCAAACGCGGAATGCGATTCCCACCACATGCCCGACTCAAACAGGAACCCGTTCAAGGGCCAACATTTTTTGCGGCACCTTTGAAGTCAGTCGGGACTCCGGGACCTGACAAAAAAAGCGTCAAAACTTGGGTATGGCCCAAAAATGAGGGGACCCTCCCCTTGGATATCTTGGGATGATCCATCTGCCTGCGTGATGGCGCCGCCGAAGGCGAGCATGGCCAGGCGTCCGTTCTTCAGCTCCTTGAGCTTCATCTCCTACGAGCTGAAGCAAGAACTGTCCGGTTGTTCCTTTGCACCGGACGGGCTCAAACCAACAAGCCAATTTGGGTTTTTTGTAAGCTCATAAACCCGTAAAACAGATGAGTCAGGGTGAAGATTCAAAACCTTTTACTGGCCCATCCGAGCCGGCAGCAGACAGCATCAAGCCGGATATGGGATGTGGCTGGATAGCAACCACTTCCACACCGGCATAAATTGTGTATGGCGTGATATGCAGCACGTCAATCATACTTGACAAGGACCTGAATGTAGAGTGCGTCTGAAACCACCGCCTAGTAGTTTGACGAGGATATCAAACCAACCCTTGACATCAGAAACGGAAATTGCATGTTGTACAGTGTACACGCACGGGCTTAGGAGCTTACAAAACTCCCAAATGTCAGTGGATGTACAATGCATATGTCGACCATGGCTCACGTTACATCTGCCTGCGCTTTTCCGCACAAGAGAATCGGGCCTAGGAACTCAAAGCTTCCGGTCTTTTCAGGACTCCAGCTTCAAGTTTCGTTTCAACCTCACCAAAAGGAAGCTCGGCTTAACCTTCTCTCTTCAAGGGTTGGTAAGGCGCCCCTGCAATCATGAAAGGCTCAATGGCCTTCCGCGAAAGCATCAAAGAGTTTTCAGGCCATTGGTGTCTGGAGTACCGAGCCCAGCCAAAGGACCCGTGTCCCCTTTCTCAGGTCTGCCTCAACCCCGCGCGGCCTTGGCCTTGGCCTCATCCTCGGGCAGGAAGTTGGCACCCAGACGGTAGTCCCCAGCGTTGGCCAGCGTCAGCCCTGGCTTGTTGGACACGTTGGCAGTCTTCGCAAAGGTCGTCAGCATCCTTTGCCACGGATCCCATCCCATCCAGGCAACTTGGAAACAGATTGGCTCAGCGCTTCGGCGAATGTGCCACTGCATAGCTTGCTTCGAAAAGCAAATGGCTCGTGGTCGGGTTACGCGTGCTACACTGCTCTGATGTTTTACGACCTTCCTGCTGAGCGATGCTGAGGGCAGAATGGATGGGCAAATTGAGACCAGAATGTCATATGATGATGTACTAAATAGAATTCAATATGATATAACATAATATAATGTGATGTGATATGGTGTGATATTATCTGACATTACATGATATGGTATGATATAATATGACATGATATATGATATATGATCTATGACGTATGATATATGATATATGATATATGATATATGATATATGATATATGATATATGATATATGATATATGATATATGATATATGAAATGAGATGAGATGAGATGAGATGAGATGAGATGAGATGAGATGAGATGTTGTGTTCCATGATATGAGATGAGATAAAATGATATGATATGATATGATATGATGTAATATTGTATGATACGATATGGTATGATGTGATATGATATGATATGAGATGAGATGATATGATATGATATGAGATGAGATGATATGATATGACATGATTTGATATGATATGATGTAATATTGTATAATATGATATGGGATGATATGATATGATATGATATGACATGACATGACATGATATGATATGATATGATGTGATGTGATATGATATGATATGATATATGATATGCTGTACTATACGTACAAAGTTATGTGCCGGTGTCAAGATCCCGACTTCAGGAGGAAGGCAAGCTGTAACGCAAAACACTCCACCAATGAGTGTGAAAATTGGCCGCTCCGGACGCTGTGTCTTGCTTGCCGGATTCCAGGGGAAAGGCGTGCGAACGGTGTTGCGCCGAGTCAAGAGGGAAACTCTTGTCCCGGCGGCATGTGTGGGTCATGTTCATTGCTCTGAATTCAACCAGGGCTTTCTATCTGGCTGTGGGTCAAAAATAGGTACCCAAAGTGCCACCCTGGTAAATGGAAACAATGACTAAAACCAGTGGTCCAATTCCTGGTGGTTTAATTTTGACCCATACCCATCTCCCTACAGGGTGTATGGCCATCCCGGGCAGCCAAGTAGGCCCTTTGACCGTGGCACATATGCCGTGGCTTTCCTCCTCAACCTCCGCTGGTTGGATCTCTCCCTCTGCCACTGGGCAGTGGCACGTGGGATCCCTCTCCCCCAGGTGCGTAGCAAGCAACTCGACGGCGCCGCAGAAGGCAAAGACTTGGAAGAGCGGGCCCACCTGAGCGCTGAGGTCTTAAGGAACTCTGGCTGGGAGCAACCCAACGAGTGGAAGGCACCTCCAAAGCACTGGACCCCAAGCCACCAAGTCATATGCAACACTGGCGCATCCAAACATACGGGAAGGCGGAGGGAGGCCAAAAGGAACCCAACCTTTCCTAAAAACCCCCTACTTTACGACACACATGTGGATGCGCCTGATGGCCATCCTTCCCGTAGAAGTCGGTGGCATCGATGATGAAGGGGAAATACCTTGCTCGCCGGTGCGGGTGTTTCCTATCCTCAGGGAATTAAGTTGAAAAAAAACTCAGGTCTGGGTATAACAAAAGACTCTCAGGTCTGGCACCAAAAAATTTCCGCCGATTTGGCGAGCCAGCTCAAGCACAGCTGATACTGCATGTTGCTCTGCTCATTGCAGAAACAGCTACATGGCTCGCAGTTCTCAGAGGCTCAGTTGCACCTTTGGCATCTAAAGTGCAACTGTGCAGCGTCAGCTCAGCACTGCCTCCCTTGACGCAAAGAAAACAAAGTCTAGAAGTCAGCAAGGTGGCAAGGTCGAGGCACCTGCGTGCTCCATCCTTGCCCTACTGATCTACAGTACCCCAACATGTTTGCACCCAAAGGCCGGAAATGTTCTTTTAGCTGTTCAGTGCACAATTCGCTTGCAGGGTGCTTGCAGCTTCCGTCTAGTTGGATTGGTGGTTTGGTGGTCAAGGAGGGGTCTTCCATTTACCCTCCACAAGTTCAAATCCCGAAACCACGAACCCAAACCACCGGCGAAGGGTTTCCTGATTCCTGGCGTCAATTGCACAACATGGCCCCGCTCTCCGCGCAAAAACGTCCGCCTCCCTCCCTTCTTTCCCAGGCTGCGGGTCACCGGCGCAGGCGTTGTGGGCCTCCCAAGGGAAAGGCAGCGTAGGCGCCGTGACAAGGCGACGCCCGGGAAAGAGAAAGAGAAAGCGAAAGAGAAAGAGAAAGAGAAAGCGAGAAAGAGAGAGAGAGAGAGAGAGAGAGAGAGAAAGAGAAATAGAAAGATAAAGACAAACATGAAAACTTCAACTAGCCATCTTAGGGCCCTTATCCTCTTGGACAAACTCCAGACTGGGAGAGGAAACCAGCATGAAAACTTGCTGTTTAGTGCAAACCCGAGCCTAGGTAGATCCGTGTCAACGTGCTATTTCAGCTTTAGTCAATTTGCAGCTCGCAGTGGCTCCTGAAATTGACGATTTGGCACTTTCCTGTGCCAAATCAATGGCAAAGCGACTGGTAGTACGTGGCCAACACCCTATTCAGTAAGCAAGGAGCGGCTGAATCCCTCGAGATAATCGCATGCAGTTTCGAAGCCTAAATGACAACCAATACTTGTGGGCGAAAAATGAACAGCAAATGCCACTTGGGGATGGATTTTGGGTTATGCTATGTTTCGGAGCGTCGTTAACAAGCAACAGGGTTCCAGCGGATGAGAATCCACCGGTTGGCTGGTTCCACTTCGGGAATAAAAGGACAAACAACATATCTTTGGCAAAGGTCTGCTGAAACGCCACAAAACAAAGCTCAAACTATGAGTCTAACCTCAGGGCAACAAACCAGCAGGGGCCGATTGAGGAAAAATAGGGGCTTTGAACCACCAATCCGAACTACCAACTAGAAGCAAGTTGATGGTTGCCCCCATCTCCAACGGTCCCAATAGAATACTCACCATCGGGCATTCCATATGCTCCCCCAGGTTTCTTTATATTTCCTTTCCTCCTGTTCCCTTGGCGTCTTTTTCAAGGTACCCTGTCTTTCTCGGGCCCCACCGAAACCACATCAGACCCCGCGGCTCGCGTTGAGCAAGCGCCATACGCCTCCACCACGTTCTTGGCGCCGTAGCAGGCCTCCGGCCCGGGCACCCGCACGAACTCCGGCACCACCAGGCCCACCCACGCCAGCATCGCGATGCGCCCGTGCTTCAGCTCCGCCTACACAGAAAGCGCAAGGGAAGAGGTCAAGATACACGAATATACCCCGTCTAGACTTGGGGAATCCAAAGGTGACGTTCCAAGCTTCACCCAAATGAGAACCATTCCCTGAACACGATTGAACCCAAAACATTGGTCCAGTTTCGGAGGTTCGCGAAAAAAGCAGGATCGGTTCAAACACGCGCGGTGTTGTTTCTTTCTTTTTTCGGTTTCAAGTAGCCTATAAGAAGCAGGGCTGTGGGAAATGACAACTTCTACAACAAAAAGGGCTTCCCAAAGACTAACCCCCACATAAAGCTTGTATCGCAGAAGTGGGGGAAACACCCCTTGATCCCACACCCTGATCAGAAGAGTTACCAGCCAGCGTCCGCAGGCCGAGCCTCTCTGAACCAAGGGAGGAATTTCTCGCACTTCACCGAGAGGCCAAGGGGGTCGAAATTGAAGTCCTGCTTTCCGCGCATACATGTGTCTAGATAGTTTCTACGTGTATATGTATATATATATATACATGTTTATTTAGTTGTTTGTATCTATATATATATATATATATATGTACATATATGTGGGTGTAGACCCGTTCAGAAGTCCAGCAGGAAGCATACCGTTCATTTGCACGCCCAGGCTATCCAGAAAAGTGAGGGATGATAACGTTCGGAGTCACGGAGTCGCGCGCCCACGCGCGCGCTTGCCATATCTCCTGGGCCTCAAGCAATCTTTCGCACACGAGGGCTCCGCAGGCAGAAGGTCAACTGGGGCTATTGGGGATACCACCTGGCTTTCTTCAGAGACGCACCCCACAGTTTCCATGGCCGTCGTCGCCTGTGTCCGTCACATCTGACAGGGCTAAGCTCTCCTCTATCAGCGTTTGCTCATCCCCTGAGAGACGAGCAAAGCCCCAGATTAACGAGTCTGCCTTAGACTCCAATAGAGGCCAAACTGGCAACACAATCCGCATGCAAGGTGTTGCTGAAAGCATTCCCATGCCTCAAGGACATGACCAAGCATAAGCTAGTGGAGCTGTAACCGATGACCGATCGAAAACAAGTGATTGCGGCGTCCTAGCGAACTCTTGGCCAACCTCCACCGATACATGTGCATGTACAAATAGGCATGCGCGCATTTACATACAGGTCAATCCCTGACTATTCACATGTACATATATATATATATGTATATATATACTATATATATACACACATGTGCAAGCAACAAAAGCACAGTTGTGCCAGCGCAGACCCCAAACCGGTGCGCGCAGATTGGCATCTCAAACCTGAAGCACGACAGTATTTACTTCTAACTTCAGCAACAAGAAACACGACACACGAAAAAGTCATCTAAACGCACATTCTACGCAGACCTGTTACCGCTGAGACATTCACAGTATCATAATGATGGAGGCAGCCACTTGGACACACCGGAGGCATCATGATGTAAACGACATGGGCAACAAAATAGATACAGCTTGCCGTCGGAACTCCATGACAGCCTTCTGCTAACAACCGCCCTTGCAAACAATATGATTGTGTCGGGCTTAGCGTCAAAATGACACAAGCCACACCATAACAACACAAGCAGCATATTGACAGGCAGGCAACACCCCAAAAAGGAAAACAGCATCGCCATGACCCAGGCACGTCACATCGACACAGGCAAGGCCATCACAACGGCAGCATCACTGTGATGCAGGCAGTGACAAACACCGCGTACAACGGAGCACCGAAATAACGCAAACGTACATAGCAAGACAATTAGCTAGCCGAACGAAGAAGCTTGCAAAGCATGGGCAGCACTGACAGGAAAAGAAGAAGGCCACCAGAGCAAGCCCAGAAAGCGAGAAGCATCTGGCGACTGAGCGAGACAAACTAAGCCAGCGCGGGCGCACACGGCATCCAACCACAACTCTGCCAGGCTTGCGCAGATGCGTGCAGAGCGTCTGGCAGCCCTGCGCCAATAAGCGTGCATTCAGTAAAATCAAGGACCTCCACAGCAATCCGCCTAAAGGGGAGGGGCAAAGTCAAGAACTCTGTGTCTACATATGTCTAGATGTTGATTGTGATCTCCATACATTGTCAGAATTTGAAAGTCACAACCTCGGACCTATCGGCACTTTGGTCTCTGAACATTTCCTCAAGGAAACCTGTCCATGCAGGTGAGCCGGTGAAGCCAGGCCAGAGTTCCATCCGGGAATCCAACAGGACTAACGGAAAGGGTGGATATCTTATGCAACTAATCGTGCCTTAGCCAATCACATGCTCTCACGACTTTGCATGCTTGTTCTCTCGACATGTCACAAAGAAAGCAACAATCTCGGGAATGTTCCTTGGGATCAATGCACAGCCACAGCCCGTTGCTCTCTTCAGGGAATGAACAGTTTGTCATACTGTCCTGCCCTGCGAA